GTTCTTCGGTCTCACCAACTCCCCCGCGACCTTCCAGGCGATGATGAACGAGATATTCCACGATCTCATCGTCGGCGGCAAAATCCTTGTGTACCTAGACGATATACTCATCTTCTCCACCAACAAGGAGGAGCATGAAAAGGTCACACGCGAGGTTCTACGCCGCCTTCAGGACAATGATCTGTTCCTGAAGCCTGAAAAGTGCGAATGGGACGTTCCCAAGGTCGACTACGTTGGCTATGTGTTCGGTGGCGATGAGGTGGCGATGGATCCCGCGAAACTAAAAGGAATCAATGAGTGGCCGGTACCCCGGAACAAAAAGGATGTCCAGAAGTTCCGGGGGTTCTCCAATTTCTACCGCCGCTTCATTAAGGACTTCGCTAAAATCTCGCGACCACTCGACCGGCTCACAGGGAACGACCCATGGCATTGGGGCGAGGAAGAGCAGCATGCTTTCGATGAGCTCAAGCGGCTCTTCGCGACGACTCCAGTCTTAGCGCTGTATGACCCTAATCGGGAAACACGCATTGAAGTTGATGCCTCGGGGTACGCCACCGGCGGCGTGTTGATGCAGAAGCAGGATGATGGCAAATGGCACCCTATTGCCTTCAGATCCCATGCGATGGATCCGGCACAGCGGAACTACGAGATCTACGATAAAGAGATGCTCGCGATCATTGAGGCACTGGACGATTGGCGCCACTATCTCGAGGGGTTACCCAATCAGTTCGAGATCGTGACCGATCACAAGAACCTCGAGTACTGGCGCACGTCTCAGCACCTCACGCGTCGTCAAGCGCGATGGTCGCTGTTCCTGGCCCGCTTTGACTTCCGCATCACACACAAGGCCGGAACATCGAACGGAAAAGCCGATGCCCTATCGCGCCAATCAGACCATCAGATCGGTGATGAGGACGATAACACCGATCAGGTGGTTCTCAAGCCAGAGCGCTTCCGCATCGCCTCCGCCAGGCGCGGTCATGCCTCGGTGACGGCCGATCAGTCGCTTCTGAAGCGCATCAGGGAATGTTCGGAGAAGGATCGGGAGGTGGCCGAGGCACTTGAAAAGGTGCAGGACCTCAGGCCGCCCCGGCTGCAAAGGGGTTTTGAGGAGTGGAATGCCGAACAAGGGCTTTTGCTGTTCCGCGGGTGTGTGTACGTCCCAAAGAATGCGGAGCTCCGGCGGGATATAGTCAAGATCCACCACGACTCGCCGATCGCCGGTCATGGCGGTCGTGCCAAAACCCTTGAGCTCGTATCGCGGAACTACTGGTGGCCGGGAATGTCCAAGTTTGTCAATGAGTACGTAAGCACCTGCGACGTGTGCAACCGTACCAAGACATTCCCAGCCAAGCCCCAGGGTCCGCTGAAGCCTAATGAGATCCCCGAGCGCCCGTGGCAGATCATCACGACCGATATGATCATCGGCTTGCCGAAGTCTGATGGGTTCGATTCGATCCTGGTCACCGCCGACCGCTTTACCAAGCAGGTCCACTTCTCAGCCTGTCATGAGACCCTGACGGCAGAAGGTGCGGCGGATCTGTACATCCGCGATGTGTTCAAGCATCATGGGGCCCCGGCCAAGGTCATATCAGACCGAGGTCCCCAGTTCGCTTCGAAGTATCTCCATGCGGTGTACAAAGGACTCGGGATCGAGCCGGCGCTGTCTACGGCGTTCCACCCTCAGACAGACGGCCAGACTGAGCGCTGGAATCAGGAGATCGAGCAGTACCTGCGCGCTTTCACAAGCCACAGGCAGGATGATTGGGCAAAGCAGTTGCCGCTCGCGGAGTTCGCATTGAACAACCGAGTTCACTCCGCGACCGGGCACTCCCCTTTCTACCTGCATCAAGGGTACAATCCTGAGATCCAAGTGCGGATCAATCCGATGTCTGCGATGCCTGCGGCCGCTGATCGGCTCAAAATCCTGAAGGAGATTCGCGACGATACGCGCTCTGCGCTCGAGCTGTCAGCCGAGCGTATGAAAGTGTACTACGATAAGCACGTGCAACAGGCACCGGTCTTTGCGCCGGGGGATAAGGTCTGGCTTGACGCTCGGAACCTTAAGCTGAAACAGCCGAGCAAGAAGCTCAGTCCCAAGCGCCTCGGACCATATGCCGTGCGGCGAAAGCTCGGAGACCTGGATTATGAATTAGTCCTGCCAAAATCGGTGCCGGTACACCCGGTGTTCCATGTCTCCTTGCTTAGCAAGTATACACGCAGCGATATCCCGGGCCGGGAGCCGGAGGAGCCGCCTGCGATTGAGGTTGAAGGCGACGAGGAGTACGAAGTTGAGCGGATCAAGGATTCGAGGATCTTCCGACGTCAGCTGCAGTACCTTGTCAAGTGGAAGGGTTATGACGACTCGCATACGTCATGGGAACCGGCGCGCAACGTTGCCAATGCGCCGGCCCTCATAGCCGACTTCCATCGGAAGAACCCGAACGCCCCTCGCCGCCTCAACGCCGCTGTCTTTGGTGGTCTCAACTTTCAGCCAATGCCTTCGCCGCTGACTGAAGCACGCTGCCGCTCTGGGTGGGAGATGGGCAAGGGCGCCTCGCATGAGGTCATGCGCCGTTGAGGGGGGGGTAATGTCACGAGTTGGTACGGCGCCTAGCCGTTTTTTAATTTTTCCTTTTCGCGGGCTCGAACCCGCGACCTCTGTACTACCTGCCCGATACGGACACATCATTATCTACTGTACGATCAGATTAGATAGGACGGCAGTGCACGGCACAGCTCGGGCCCCGCTGACACAGCCGCTTTGACTCACCGGCCCCCGGGGCCGCGTCGGCATGCTGTGCACAGACCAGCTGCGCACGGACCAACGTGCACAGCCTGCCCTAAATCTTCCCATGTATATAAACTAGCCTCTGCTGCCCTAGGGACCTCAGTTTCGACCTCTTGTCCCTAGGTCAGTAAGCTCTCATTTGTATCCTTTACTTACCTTTACTAACTAATACATTTCTTGTCCCTAGCCTTAGGTTTGAGCACTGCTCACCATCGCTTCGGTGAGAATCAGTC